TGTGCAAGTGGTTCAATTGCCTAGCATGCCTCCTATATAAAGTCCAAGTCTCACTGGCATACATCAGGGTAGTTAGCACTACTGCTTGGTAGACTTTGAGTTTTGTGGCAAGGCTTATTCCACACGTAGGTCAGTAGTCTGCCAAATGCAGAGCTTGTCTTGGTGATTCTGCAGGTGACCTCGATGTCAATTGTCACTGCGCAAGAGAGGGTGCTGCCAAGGTATGTAAATTGGTTCACTGCTTACAGCTTTTGTCTCTTTACTGTGACAGTGAGCTCTTGGTGTTGGGCTTTCGGAGCTGGCTGATGCATCACTTCGGTCTTCTTTGAGTTGATAAAGAGACCGAAGTTGTCACATGCTGCTGCTAATTTTTCCACACTGGCTTGCATTTCCTGCTCTGATCCAGCATTCAGGGCACAGTCATCAGCAAAAAGGAGGTCTTGTAGCAGAGTCTCCTTTACCTTGGTGACAGCCTAGAGTCTTCTCAGGTTGAACAGTTTCGCATCGTTTCTGTATCTTATGTTAACTCCCAAGGAACTATTCTGGAAGGCGTCTGACAGCATGGCTGTAAACATTATGCTGAACAGGGTCGGTGCCAACACGCAATCTTGCTTGATGCCATTTGTAATGGGAAAGGCCTTTGAAGCTTCTCTGTTGCCCAAAACACAAGTCATCATGCCATTGTGGAACCGACCTACCATTAGGATGAATCTGTCAGGGCATCCAAACTTCGACATGATGCGCCACAGATGCGCAACAGACCTTCGCGACTGACAGTGTCAAAAGCCTTGGTGAGATACACGAAGGTGGTGTACAATTCACGGTTCTGCTCTTGACACTTCTCTTGGAGCTGCTGGGCTGCAAAGATCATGTCCACAGTACCACGCTCTTTGCATAAACCACACTGTGTCTCGGGTAATAAACCCTGTACCAGGTGGTCAGTCAGGCGGTTCAGTAACACTCGTGTAAGGATCTTGCCTGCGATTGAAAGCAGTGATATTCCTCTATGATTATCGCAGACTTGTTGATTCCCTTTCCTCTTGTAGAAGTGTACAATGGATGCATCTTTCAGTTCCTGAAGAATGGATCCTTGATTCCAGAAGGACTTGAACAGCAGAGTGAGTTTGGCAACAAGCACTGCACCGCCATCCTTCCGCTGGGATCGCATCAGATCCTGGGACCTTGCCACTGGACAGCTGGCTGATAGCCTGTAGGGTTTCAGTCTGTGTTGGTGGGGCGTCCAGGCTGTGGTTGATATCCGCCTGGGGCATTCTGTCAATCGCCTCGTTGATGGAAGATGGGAGGTTCAGTACAGACTGGAAGTGCTCAGTCCAATGTTGTAGGATAAGAGTCTTCTCAGTAATGAGTTTCACCATCTGAGTCTAGTAGAGGGGAGCTCCCTGAGGGCTGAGGTCCGGCTTCATAGATAGCATCGTTGCTATCAGCAAACTTCTGAATTTCATCTTCTTTGGCACTCTACCAGGAGTCCTGCATCTTGCAAAGCTTGCTCTGTACGGTTCTGCGAGTGTTGAATGCATTTTTCTTAGCTGTTGATGACTGGTTGTTCTGATAAGCATGGTGAAGGCAGTGCTTTTCAGCAAGTAGGGCCTTGATCTCATCATCAGTTTCATCAAACAAGTCTTGTTGTTTCCTGTGTGAGGGTCCAAGAACCTTTAGTGCAGAAGAGTGCACAATATCCCTGAAGCGTTTATAGTCCTTCTCAGCATTTCCCTCTAATTGCAGCTCTGAGAGTTGGTTGTCAAGATCTTCTGCTAGTGCAGCTGCTGTGTTGCTCAGTTTACTGACGTTAATCCATTTCATCACAGCTTTGTTTCCCTGCGTATGTCTCTTTGGCTTGATGTGAAAGCTTAATTTAGAGATGATGAGTCTATGGTCAGTCCAACAGTCAGCACTCGGCATGGCCTTCATCACCCTTACGCCCTGTCTCTTTCCTCCGCACGATGACATAATAAGATGCCAGTGCTTGAAGCGTGGGGGCATCCAGGATGTTTTTTTGTGAGTGGGCAGGTGAAAGATGGTATTGGTGGTGATCAGATCGTGAGCTGCACGTCTTCTTTAGTAATGGGCCATTGCTGTTACATTTGCCGATTCCATTTTTTCCAATGACGCCATCCCAGGCAGAATGATCGGATCCTACTCTTGCGTTGAAATCACCAAGTAGAATCAGCCTGTCGGTGAGCTTCACTGATGAGAAAAGTGCATCGAGATCTTCATAAAACTCGTGTCTTCATCCTGATTCATCATTAAGGGGAAGTAGGCGCTGATCAGTGTGGCTTGTTTTCCTCTCGGTAGTGGGAGATGCAGTCTCATGAGTTGGTCGTTCATGCCCCTGGGAAAACTGGCAAGTTTGTGGACAAGATGATTCTTAACCGCAAAGCCAGCTCCAAATGCACGGCGTTCATTACTGCTGTGTCCAGACCAGAAGAATGTATAACTGCCTCTTGTTTCTGTAAGCTGACCTTCGTTGGCTAGATGAGTTTCACACAGGGCCACAACGTCGATGTTAAATCTTGCGAGCTCTCTGGTGACCAGGGCTGTTCTTTCTGGTCAACCTGCTGAGGGGTTTTCTTGAAGCTTGCGTACGTTCCATGTGCTAATAGTGAGTGGTTTCACCTTTTGTTTTTTTTTTGAAGCTTTGTTATTCGACCGCATGAAATGTTATCCCCTCCAGCCACGGTAAACTGGCCAGTGTTCTGTGATGCAACAATGTTTAGGGCACTTTTTCTAGCCCCCTCCTCTTGCTATGGAGGTGAGCAGTGTGGTGCTAAAGAGGGCTGCTCAGTCACTCAGGTAGATGCCGAATCCAGCTGTTGCTTCGGTCAGCAGGAAGACGACCATTAGACCTGAGCCGCCTGTGTGCAGGTCCGCAGCTACAGCTCCCAGTGTATCCACGCCTGCTTCTTTGTCGCTCGCCCATTGGTAAAAGTGCGAGTAAAACTAGCTCTGTTACATCAGGCTTATGGTGAGCATTTTATGAAGAAATCAAGTGTTTTTGAATGATATAGGGGTTTAAAAAAGGGCAGGAAGATGTTCGTAATGATACAAAAAGTGGGAAGCCAAAAACGAAATTGACGGATGCAAATGTGGAAAGAGAATTTGTTCAGAGGAAAGGACAGAACTCTGGCCTGACAAATAGATTCCCTACTATGAGAATGCTCCTGCACATGGTTCATTTAGTGTTTGTGAGTTCTTGGCCCAGAAATCCATTCTGGAACTTGACCAACCACCTTATTCCTTATACTTAGCACCCGGTGACATATAGCTGTTTCCAGAATGAAATAAAGGCCTTCAAAGGATACAGATTTGATGACATAACGGACATCCAGCACGCCGTGACAAATATACTGTGCAGTTTTCTAGAGAACAAATTCCAGGAATGTTTCCGGCGGTGTCAAAGTTGTCTACAAAAGTGTGTCACTTTACAAGAGGAAACAAACATTTTTTTTCTTTGCAGTCCATTCTGGGAATATTACATTGTCATACCTCATACAGTGACCTTTACATAAAAAACAAATTTAGCTGGGGTTACCTGGGAAATAATGATTTCAAGGGTTCCTCTGGGGATAAAAGGTTTAGAAAGGCTGCTTTAGATGATAGAGCTAAGGTTAGGAACTTTATAATTTGGACTGGCTTGGTGCAGAGATATTCTCTATGGCCAGATTACAAGGACACCAGCACACAGATGGATAGACGTGCTACCGGGCCTGTAGGTTGGGCCATTTAGAAACTGCAAAAATCCGCACTTGAGTTCTCTGGCTACATTTGGGATTTTGGTGAAGTTGACAAGGAGGTCGTTTGCCAGATTTAATTGCAGGTATGCTTTAGAGGTGAACTGCTCATGGTTGATAATTACAGTTGAACATATTTTAAGAAGTGTTAATGTACCAAGCTCGTGTTTTCCTCCAGCAGTGGTCTGCAGACTTGTTACATTGCAAGGTTTGCCTTATTTACCACTTGCAGTAATTATCTTGCAGAAAAAAAGTATTTGTGTCTTAACAGCAGATAAAAATACGGTTCTAGGTGGCAGTGATGTGAAGAACTAGTGTTAAGTGAAAATTGCTTGTTTCATCTAAACTTTAATTCATTTGATTGCTTGAGACTTATTACAAAGTAAAATGAGGCAGAGGTGAGAACATTGTATAACGACTTTAAAAATTGCTTTTTACAGTTATATGTGCTTCTGTGTAGTGTGAGAGGGAAGATCTGTTGGAAATTAGATCATTGCCATTACCCTTATAATTGGCTCACAACACTTTTACAGCCTTTCTATGCCTTTCTTTTTATTTATTTATTTATTTTTTTGCTTTTTACAGTTTCTTCAATAAGTTGATTTTAAGTGTGTCATGAATAAAAGAAAACTTTAGTTTAAAACTATATATGCTAAAACTGCTGACATCTCTCTAGCTGCCATAATGATCCAATTGCTTTGAAATTTTCCAGGTCACAAATATACTGTATTAGGGCAACAATCATGGAGCAATATAAGTCTGTACATCAGTTCCCCTGCATAGGGGTGGGAACCTTTACGTACATACTTTTGATATTTATTAGTAGCTCACATCTTGTCAATTCTCAGTCTAGGTTTAGCAGATTTAGGGATTGTTTCAACTAAAACTTGAAGCGTGACATTGAAAGCACAGAGACTCATTGATTAGGACCACAGAACTATTATTATTCATATTTAGCCAGCTTATTCAGATTAGAAAGCAGTCTGCAAACAGCTGCTATTTATGTCCTGTGGCTGCACAACAAACAAAAATGAAAACTAATCATGGGGTGCATTCCTCTACCCCATTGACTTTTTTATATTTAGGAAATTCAGGACTCATGCACTGCAGCTGATGATAAACTCACGTTCAGGAGCTTTTCTGCATTTTTTTTCAGCAGCCCCTGAACTCTACCTAATGCTGTCCTATGTGTCCATGTACACTACGTCATTTACAGTTGTCTACAGGCAGCTGAGTTTAGTTATTTTTTGAACGCAATAAACTTGCATTCAGGAGTAGATTTTATCAGCGTTTCAAACGCCAAACGTATGTAAACGCGGCTAACTACATTTATAAGCGTTTGGAATTTTTTTTTAACTCTTCCATTTCCAGATGCTGTCCAGAGCCTTTTTTTCATCATGAAAAATGCATGCAAAGCGTTTTCAAGGTGCTCAAATGGACAGAACACTGAACACAGGATGTTCCTACCAAGCTTGTCACATATTGTAATGACCATTTCACAACTCAGACCTCTCCCACCTTTGGAAACAAAAGATACGTTAATGACCATTCGCACCTCAAATTCCTCATGAAGACCCCCTGCCAGGTGGCCTTAATGGCTCACAACTTTCCCACCCTTGGAAACGTTTATAAGCGTTTGCGTTTGGAAATTTTTTTTAATTCTTCCATTTCCAGATGCTGTCCAGAACCTTTTTTTCATCATGAAAAATGCATGCAAAGCGTTTTCAAGGTACTCAAATGGACAGAACAGTGAACACAGGATGTTCCTACCAAGCTTGTCACACATTGTAATGACCAATTCACAACTCAGACCTCTCCCACCCTTGGAAACAAAAGATAAGGTAATGACCATTAGCACCTCAGATTCCTCATGAAGACCCCCTACCAGGTAGCCTTAATGACTCACAACTTTCCCACCCTTGGAAACAAAAGAAATATTAATGAGCAACTCGCACCTAAGCTAATCTCAACACATACTGCTCTCTCTGCTTCTACTCTCTGTATTTCTCTGAAATAGTTAATAATTTACCACTTTCCAGTGCATTCTGTGCATTTGGGTTCTCCTGTGCTTATCTTTAAAAAATTATTCTAAAGGCAAACGCGCATAAACGCAGTATGCAAACGCGGCTAAACGGACTTTTTTAACCTACGTTTTCCAGCAGTCAGTTTCCATCATTCAGAAGTGTCCCGTGTATATGGGGCCTTACAAAATTATATACTGTTTAAAACATCTATTTCTGCATTGCATTTACATTACATCCATTTAATGTAGAAGGATGCTAATGTCATTCAAAAAGCAGCACCCACTTAAAGCTGGAATGGTCAAGAATGTTCAGTATTGCACACATACATTGGAGGATGAGGTGGAGAGGAGTGGAGGATGATGTTACAACCTCCCCCCCCAGTGCTGAATGTTTAGTGTGCAATAAAGAGGCCTCTCACAGAGAACACCAGCAGGACCCGGATGGTTACGTCTATCACTGTAGTACCACTAACTACTATAGTGATTTCAGCTTCCTCAGCAGCCCATCAGGTATGAGTAATGCATACTCAACAAGCTGGATCAATGTATGTATGCAGTGGAAATTAAATTCTGTTGGATAATCATAGCCTGTGTCACTGCTCAAAAGTGACTTGTAAACTCCACAGTTCCTTGGATACCAGCCAGGTGCTCCAAACCCCACTCACACTCCACCACTCTCACTACAAAATGGGCCACACCGTTGACAGCTTGCTCAAGCTATGTTAGACTGACAGCACCTCCCATCTGAAGCCATGCCCTGAGGGTGGCTTTAATGTAGGCTGTCAGTCTAATAAACATAGCTGAGCAGGATTTCATCAGCGTGCTGTCCATTTTATCCGATTTGCAACAAATAATTCCTTTGGACTAACCCCCATATTCAAGGGTTAAAAATAAGCTCCTGGTTACTTTTTCTGCAGGCATGAACTTAGTATCGGCTATCAGGTAAATGTGATTTGGATGGCGGTAGAGCACTACAGCGGAGATAGAAAATTCTACACTATTATTGTATTCTAACAACTGGCACCTGTCAATACCTGAACTGAGGCTGCTTGTCATTGAATATGGCCAGTTAAATTTCATGAACATGACCTCAAATGAACAGGAGGAAAAAAGAAAACTAATCTTAGAAACTATTTCACTGAATGAGTAGTTCAAGAGATTGTAAACCCTCTCTTTGTAAATCAGCCCATTCAGTTTAAAGGCTCATTCACACCATGGTGCAGAGACGTCAGCTTTTTCTGCCCGCGCTCTGCAAGGGCACAGTGAAATCAATTGTTCTCTATGTGCCCTGTTAACACCACAACACTGGTATCATGTGCTGATTTTTTTTGTACGCAGGAATCTGCAACATGTATAAAGCTCACTGAAGTGCGCATGAAAACTGATGTCTCTGCAAGTGATATCTGTGTGTCAGTTTTTCTGCGCATATGGTTTGAAAGAGGCCAAGAAAGAAAAGAAAGGCAAAACATTTGTGTATACATATATAAAAACATTACAAATACCATTTTTTTTTTTAGCAGAGAGATCCTTTTTCTTCCCCATATTGCTTGAAAATGGTGCTCTGCTTAATAATGTGGAACACCCTCCTTTAGTTGTTTTTCCTAAAATTGGGCTCACCGGCCAACCTAATTATCACAGGTGTCCGAGATTGTTTTCAGTGATCAAAAGAGCCCTGACACACAATGCCATCCATGAGTTACACTGAAAAACAAAATGTTTATTCTTTGTGACACTTAAATAGAATTTGCATTATAATTTGGAACATGGTGTACAGATGTATATGAAAATAACCAATAATAAACCTGCACAATAAATGAAAGAATCCAAGAATTTTGTTTTTATACTTGGAGCTTGCTGAAACACTATAAAGTCTCTACTTTACTTTACCTTAAACCTATAACAAAAAACCAATGTATCACTACCCCATTATAAATCAACAGTCAGTTTGCTTTTGTTCTTTGCTTTGGTTATTTACCTATATATTTCTTTATATATTGATATTAGTTGGGAATTGATTGTTGTTTTTTAATAGGGTAGTGCTGCACTGGTTTTCAGTTCTCAATACAGGTCTATATTCAGACAAAAAGGTTAAACAAATATCAAAGAGTGGCAGACTCAATGGACCACTTGGTCTTTTTCCGCCATCACTCTTCTATATTTTAATGGCACTAGGGAAGTAAAAGGAAGAATCATTTTTCTATAGGCAATCTGAACAACAGTTTAACCGCTTAAGGAGCACCCTATAGCAGATATACTGCTACAGGGCAGCACCTGTGCGCAGGATCATGCGTATATATACGTCATTCTGCATTTCCGGGTAGGGGGCGTGCGCAAGCGCCCTACCCGCGCCGCCATTCGTGGCTGTGGATGTCAATCACTGGATCCCGGCTGGTAATTACCCACCGGCGCCCAGTGATTACCGAGCATCTCCGACAGGGAGGAAAATTTTGTTTACAAACAATCTTCCTCCCTGTCAGCTCAAGCACACTGCTCAAGATGGCTGTGCACAGTACTGCCATCCCGATCCGTGTGCTTACAGTGAAGAACACACACCCCACCCCCTAGTAAAACACTGCCTACACACAGTTAACCCTTTGATCGCCTCTCACATTAACCTTTTCCTGCTCAGTGTCATTAGTACAGTATCAGTGCTTTTTTTTTTTTTTTTTTTTTTTTTTTTAGAACTAATCACTGTATTGGTTTCACTGGGACGTCAGTGACACCAAGTTAGTTTCCCCCCCCCCCGCAGTGTCAGAATGTCTGCTGTATTCCTGCTAAAAGTCGCTGATCGCCGCCATTGCTCGTAGAAGAAAAAAATCCCATTATCTATACCACCATTTATAAACGCTATAACTTTCATGTAAACCAATTAATTTACACATATTGGGATTTTTTTTTTTAGCAAAGACATGTAGTAGAATACATTTTGGCCTAAATTTATGATGAAATTAGATTTTTAAATTTTTTTACTGGACATGTTTAACAGCAAAAAGTCCAAAATATTGTTTTTTTTTTTTCTCAATTGTTGGTCTTTTATTGCTTATATTGCAAAAAATAATCGCACAGGCGATCAAATACCACCTAAAGAAAGCTCAATTAGTGGAAAAAAAAGGACGTAAATTTAATTTTGGTGCAGCGTTGTATGACCACGCAATTGACAGTTAAAGTAATGCAGCACCGTAATGCAAAAAATGGCCTGGTCATGAAGGGGGCTGAATCCTCAGGAGGGCAAATGGTTAAATAAAACCCTAGGATCAGCAGTATGCCTGAGTTTTTATTCCAGTTCACAAGGCTTTAATACATGTGCAGTACTGTGTTAGTTTTCACTTCTGATATCATGTAATCTCCTTAACAACGTTTCCTCCAGTGCTCACCGAAGTGTGAAATCATTCTATAAAGCAGACATGCAGAATCAGCATAAGCAACAGTCAATGAATTAAAAGTCACTCTGGTCTCCGTTGTGAACTCGGAGCAGGGAGCTCTGTTGTGTGCCAGAGAATGGACTGTCATTTTCTTAACAGCATGAAGGCAGTTGCACCGGAATCGGGTTTCCATGGAAACAAGTCAGACTGGGGTGTAGGGCTTCATTAGGGCCCTTCTGAGATCAGAAAGCGGGACTGTGCAATGGAACATTCCCATGATCTGTTACCTTTTGTCTTCCTCAGACTTGTCTTAAGTTGTCAATGGAACTTTTGTTCCCTCTCATTTTTATACGCATAATTATGAGCCAGCTCAGTACATTACAATACATTCCTCATCGCTGCAAGTGACCCCATGCACCCTCATGGGCTCTGTACTTATAGCAGGCCCTTTATTGAGAACGGAAACTTTCTTTTATTTCCAACTTAGAGTTCTGCAAATTGTTAATGACTAAAATGTCTAAAGTGGTATTTAAAGCAGACCTCTGAACATAGTAGAGTTCACCTTTTATTATGGATGGCAGGATTCTTTGGATTCTGCAACCTATAGAATTATTACATTGTACGGCGTTAGGCTTTTCTAGCTTTGTTTCATTGCTGTGGTTATATGTAAAAGGTAATTCTGTTATGCACAAAAATATTTTTAAAAATAATATGCCAGCAAATGAACTTTTATTTATGGTATACAGTCGTGCACAAATGTTTTAACAAGCTGCTACTTCTTTTTGTCTGACAAAGAACCCCCCCTAATCCAAGACTTGACCGGAGTGAGTTGTGGGACACATGATGTTTTGCTGCCACCTAGAGTGTAGGAAAAACAGTTCACCAATTTTGGCAATTACTTTTCAGTGTCTCTAGGCCAGGGGTCTCTAAACTTTTCAGTGCCCCATCATTTGAATCAGTTGGAGGAATAGTGCCCCATCATGGTTGTCAGTGGCAGGAATTACAGTGCCTTGAAAAAGTATTCACACCCCTTGAAATTTTCCACATTTTGTCATGTTACAACCAAAAACATAAATGTATCCAATCCCAGTGGATTTTATGTGATAGACCAATACAAAGTGGCACACAATTGTGAAGTGAAAGGAAAATTATGGTTTTCAACATTTTTTGCATTTAAATATCTGAA